CCCCTCCTCAATCAAGCTCGACCGAAGATGTCAACACTCAACTACGATGTATTCGAGAGATAACCTGCCTTCCCTCCCTAGCTAAATAACTCGACATATCGCCATCGAATACCTGCTGAGATATGCATGAGTGATAGTTTATGACGGGGTTACTCTGCAGACGACCCAACTCTGTTGAACGCCCGACTATACCTTATACTGCCCAGGAGATGGAGCGTAGGAGTGAGTGCGGTCCACATAGGTAGATGCATGGGGGGGGGGGGGGGGGTGAGCACACCTCTTCCCCCTCTTTCCTTCTTCCCCTCTTGCGGTGTCGTTCAGTCTGCCTAAAAAACGAGCAGCAACTATAATGGCGATATGTGAGTATAAGGGCGGGGGAAAGCCAACCTGACTTGTGCCCTGCTGCCGCTAAGCGAACGCAAAAGCGTACCAAGGATGTGGGCATGGTGCGTATGCTACGATCTATGCATCCCCGGTCAGCGCTATATGCTCACGCCGTGGGACGCCCTGGTAGTTTGTGCTAGCAGGGTGTAAACCACTTTGGCGGTATGATAATCCAATTTATCCGAGGTAGGAACGCACGGGGAGTCACTCGCTCGCGGGTTTGCTTGCTTTTGTGTCCGGTGTCGTCGTGATTATCATACCCACCGGTCCATCCCCGGTTCCTCAGAGGAAGGGGAAATCCACCACCTCCACCATCACCGGTGTTAGTGAGTACGATGAGAGAGAATGAAAAGAAAAGGAGCAAATGGAAATTACGCCACTGCACTATGACCCATTCGCTCAGTAGAAATCTACTGGCCTAGGCTCTCACCCGCAACAACTCAGCGGGGAAGCAACATAGCGCGCCATTTCTACAGTTATCCACGAGGTTGGATCTGGGAAGCCTGTCAGAATTTGCTAGCACTATACACTCCAAACACTGCTCATATCCTCCTCCTCCTGTTCAATCCAATCCCCCGGTCGATTGACCGAGAACGCAGCAGCAGTTAGTCCGTTCGTTCAAACGATCAGATCTTAAAGACTTTTTCACTTTTTTTCCTCCCCTTCGCTTTTCACTCCCCCCCCCCTCTCTCCGTTCTGTGCTACAGTGTCCGCCTGAGTGCTCCTCCATCCATTCATCTTCCATACCTTTCCTTCCCGCTGGAAGCTGAGGGGCAGACTTTAGGTTACGTTACGTTGCTATTTTTTCCCCTCTCCTTCCTTCATCTTCTGGGAAAAATAAAGTGATAATTCTCACGTTTTACTCACTACCGATAGTACATTTTCCTACTTGGGGGGTGGGGGGGGATGAAGAAGATTTAAATTATTCGTCCGACCCCGCCTATAGACCGCAATAAAGCGCACTCAGAGCTACAGCACAATTACGGTACGGCTGAAGCGCTCGTTCATTCTTCCCCGTACCGTGTCGACCTGGGATTCCGGTGACAGTCGGGTAAGATACGGTGTGCTCGTACTCTATTCCTCATACCACAAATACAATATGAGGAGGGTGAGGGGAGAAGGTGGGAGGACAAGCAGCGATCCAGAATATCTTCATTTAGTCGATAATCTGGTGATTTTTTTTTTCTGATTTTTTTCCTTTTTCTTTTTCTTTCCTCTTGGGTGGGCCGGAGGATAAATTTCTGGATCTGGTATAGGTTCCTAGCGGTGAGACATTGGTTTTATCTATCAGTGTAACTCGTGTTCGTATATACAAAGTTCACGTTCCACGGTTGGGGTGGGGTGGGGAAGGGAGGTCTTTTTTTTTTTTTTTGGTTCTTGTTTTGTTTTGGGACGGTTGGTAATCCGAGTGATGGGATGTGATTTGTTGCTAGGGCTATGATACTAGTGGGAATGATTGACATCAGGGTTCGGGGGTGGGGGGGGCGCCTTTGACATGTTTTTTTCCCTGGGCTTGGATTGGGTGAGACCCTGCTGACTTGGCTGTTATCCCAGGATCTGCTTCTTCGGTTTCTTGACCATCTAGATCTCATGGATGGCGTAACTGCCGGTAGCTTCACGCTAGTGAGGGGGGAAGACGGCTCGCAGGGATTGGGAGAGGACAGTACTAGTACGAGTATAGTATCTGAAGCCGTTCTACTAGTAATAATGACGTATTTTCTTTGGGTCGGATAGGGGATGCTGTGCTTTTCTTGATACTACCTCCTTCCACTCCCTTCCCTTCTTCCGTCCGTCAACGACCTTCTCAATGATTCCTATAACTCCTCCGCCTACGGTATCGAATGGTCTGGCTATGGTATTCTTAGGGGGATCGGTCTGCAGGTTTTCTCTACGCTCTGACTGGTTGGGCGGTCGGGTTCGGTGGGTTCGATTTGTCTCTTCACTCGGTCCCCTGGAGAGTTGAAGAGTGAGGGAGGGGGAATACTACCGGTATTGGATTTCTTCCTGACGGCCTCGTTAGAGGACAAAATTGATGGGCTTTGATCTTTCTTTTCTCCCGAGCCCCGCCCCTACCGTCAAGCGAGTGGGGGGGCGGGGAGGCGAACACCTTTGAATCAGTGAGTATTTCCTCACTGATCTTATCCACCGCCCGATATACCGGATTGCATTCACCGGGGAACTTGCGAGAGATCATTAGGGATGGGGCGGGTTAGGGAGAACGATTTGTGTAAATCATAGCTTGGTCTGGGATTTTGTCAGGGGTTGGTCGGATTCCTATATCTTGTCTGGCTCGTGATGTTTTATTTTGGAGTGAAGGGGTTTAGGGAATATCGGAATTGGGGTTTATCTGTGCTTTTGGTATTGGCGAAGGTCATTACTGCTCTGTGATCTCCTGATTCCAGTTCGGCGGAGTCGGTCAGAGATGTGTTCTTCTCCCGGAATCGATCTATGGTTCCGTGGCGATTAGAGTAGCGCTTTGTTAATATGTGATTTGACTAGTGACCCTAGCGATCCTAGCTGTATATCATAATATCCTTCTAGAAAATGGAGGATCAGATCCTCGGATGCCACCGTCGCCGGGTTTCCCAAAGTGAGTATGATACATAGGATAATCTCATAACGGGGTCTGGCCGTCAATGGAGTTGTAGGGCTGGAGGGGGGCGCAATCCTGGCATTGGAGGGGAGCAAGTGAATAGTCTGTCGACTCGATGCTTGAGTTAGTGGGGCCAAAAAAAAAAAGAGTTGTATTTTACCTTAAATTATAGTTGCCAGAATGCATCCGATACCACTCCCGTTTCAAGAACGGTCCGGAACTGCTCTCGCCAGTCTGTATTTTGGCGCACCATCAACGCTGTATCCGTCTATCTACTGTCGTGGGAATAAGTTTACCATGGGAGATCATATATCATCACTCGAGAACTTTAGCCTTCCCCACCTGGAGCCAAAAGTGCTCTAGTATAGTACAGCTCCGGCACGCTCTGGAGCCTATAGGAAAGCGCTTTTTTTTTCTTTTTTCTCCCTCCTTTCTTCCTTTTTCTGAAACGCATCTCAGAAGGTTATTCCACCACGATCAATATCCGAATCCCATCAGGGACAAGCTGAGAGCCGTGAGGTTCAAACCTACCACGCTTCCACAATACGAAAAGAAAGGACGCAGTTCTTCCGTCGCTTTCCTGGCCATCGTGCCATTCGGAGGTCTACACCTTCCCTCCCTTCCCTTCCGTCCCCTCCCGACCGACCAGAATTACGGTCCATAACACCCACCCATCCACAAGCACCCCAGTCGAAACCACCCAATTGCCAGTCGCTCCTTCTTCTTCCCCGGGGGGAGCGGAGCAGCGGGAAAACATCTCCGCATGGAAATTGTGAATTGTGTGCAAGCCCTATCTGAACGGTGAGGGGGGTAGAATGGGAAGTGCTGTATTCTATACTCTTCACTGGTAACGTCGGGTAGGTGGGTGGGTGGGTAGGGTAGGGTAGGGTAGCTGAGTCTACCCCCTCAGTCCCGGTACCGCCTCAATTCCAATACCTGTCTATTATGCTATCCGTGATAAGAGTGAGGAAGTTTGGGGGGGGTGTTGGGAAATGGTAACGAGCTTCTCCCGAGATTATGTATGTATGTAAGGCGTGTGCGAGAGGGTGTGGGTAATGGCGGATGGGATGAGGATTGGGTATTTAAATTTAGGATGGGATGGGATGGGATTTTATCCGAGCTTTTCATGTTCTTTCGTAATGTCCGGAAAGTTCGAGTACTGTACTGTATTGTACTGTACCGTTAGTTGACCATTTAATTCCATGATACATTTTGATACTCTGTTCTATTATATAGCTGTTCCCGTTGCCGGCCCACGGGCAACATTTCCTTCTCAACGCTTTTTTAACGTTTCTCTTCAAGGTGGGGAGGAGAATGCACATGTACAGACAGGTTAGAGTCTACCGGTAGGTAGGTAGGTAGGTATAACAAATGCCCAAGAGCTCCATTTCCTCCTTCTTCCAGGGGTTTTTTCGGGAAAGCAGCTACCTCTACAACTAACTCGCGTTCCGGGGGCTTTAGAAAGAGGAGAAAGGCTAGGTGTAGGTGTAGGAAGGGCTATAACACTGGCAAAGGAAATCAGTGGACTATGAATTCTTGGGCGTAGGTAGGGAATGTCGAGTGCCACGAGAGTTCGGAAGTGGATGGATACAAAAGTCCATTGTTTAAAGCGGAGGTTGTCGGATTGATTGTGAATTTGGGTCGGGTTAGGAGCTGCTCATTGCATTGTCCCCTAATGGTGGAGTCCACATAAAGTTGTGTTGTATTGCGCTGTACCAAGTTGATTGCTATACTGGCAATGCGATGATACTTGTACGAGTGGGCGGGCTCGGGTAGCATGAATGCACGACTAATCTGTGGAAAAAACTGGATTTCTAAGCCATCTAGGGGCAGCAAGTGGATACAGGTACGACGCTTCAAGGGTCTGTTAACGCGATGTGAGAAATTATAATTGAAATACATGAGCTTGCAAAGTACCTGTAAAGAGTGTACAGATCTTTGTGACGGAATGCAAGCGGTTCACAAGCGGTTTTACAAGCTAAACGAGGCAAACAAAGAAAAAAAAAAAAAAAAAAGGAATAATTCAAGCCCCAACCCCAAAAATCTTCTCGGTGATCAAATCCCTAATAATTCCAGACAATCCGTCCCAGTGAATGGCAAAGTCCTGGGCCCTATTCTCCTTTCTGCTCTTGACGCTCTTTGCAGCCGGTTCGCAGGCGTTTTCGGATTCTACAAATGAGGCATCTGATAGGGAGCGCTTTCTTTTCGCCGCTGATGGTCGCAAACGGTGAGCTTAATCGGATCCGAAGGAATACGAGAGTTTGCAAGTACTTACAACCAGGGGTTTGAGTAGGAAGGCGAAAAGAGCACCTCTTCCCACAGCTATTGTAGTGACAGTTTGTGCAAGAACCAAGAAATTCTCCGGTAACAGAGACGCAGTCTGCAAAGGGTCCAATCTTCTGTATACAGGTACGGCATGGACTTTCTTGCAGTTTCCCTCTGGTGTGCCCCAGGATAGCCTCATGATTGGCTATCCTGTTCCAGACAATGTCCTTGCTTAGCTTTCCGGGTCTAAGCACAACATCCCTCACTCTTGCCAAGGCCTTAAGTCTCAAGAATGCGGTGCTACCCTTCTCATAGGCATTTTCTGCAAGGTCAGCTATGTAGGTGCTCTCCGGGATTGTGACGAGAGGAATCGGCTGGCTGTCTGGGTTCGGTTTGATGGGGTTGGAAACCGACATTTCGGGGATAGGGAGAGAGTGAACCAACGGTATAGAAGTAAACAGGGAGGGTGGAAGAAAAAAAAAGAAAATAAGGGAAAGAGATGAACAAAATAGTGAAGAGCAGTGTTGAAAAGATAAATAACGAGAGGACACCAGGGGTGAAGGAATATTCAAAAGAAAAGAAAAGAAGAAAAAAAAGGGAAAAAGCGTGCTCGAACGGTCAATATAGGCTCTTTAAATACTTTTCGGATCCTACCCTGCTGCAGGCAACAAGTACCCCAAACATTAGATTTGAATTTCGTGTGGGCGCACTGATGCGCACAGACGATTGTCCGCACATCTATATAATCCCTGTGCTCGGGCATCATACTTGTTTCCTGGATAAGTGCCGCAACATGCATCTGTTCTGTTTGTTAGTGTGTAGGCAGACCATGCTAATTAGTGGGAGAAGACAGCCTTGTTGGCTGTGGTTGCACTATTAAAACCGCCTCCTCTCCTGCCGGGAGCGGGATAACCTGCAGCCACATCCTAGAATCACACTCCAACGCTCCCGCTAACTAAACCCTGGTTACCATGGCAACTCTCACGGTGTTCCGAAAACGGCCGTGCCAAACAGGGCTGGAGGAACCCCTGGGAACCACGAAGAAGCCGGGGCCGTGCTACAACATGGCTCCTCCTTCGGTTACTCAACTCAACGGATCGGAAAGTCCAGCACCGAGCCGGTTTTCCATCGTTGCTTCCATGAGAATTATGGGCGCAGGAACCTCCCGGGTTTGCACTCGCTGTATGAGAGCTTCTGCAGGATATTTGAGCGCTCATACCATCTCCCTCTATTCTATCGAGTCCAATGGGAAAGAGTTCGTGGATGCCCTAGGTTCCTAGCGGGTGCTGGCATAGTAACCAATCCAGGAGGCGGAGGTGAGGGGTTGGTTTGCTAGAGCCTCCGGTTCGCCCTTGGTGTTTGATCATGGTTTGGCTTGCCGGGGTATGAAGCGGACGAATAATCGGTGCTCCCACGGTAGCGAGCGTTTTTTTCGTGTTTGTTACACTTGCTTGCACAGGAGGAAGGTAGGCAAGGACACGCGGTGTTTGTCACGGGGTGGTCCGTGCGGGACTGGGAAGATTTCGCCAACTGCATGGTAGGGCATTTGGCTGAAAGACAAAGAAAGCGGGTGCAACTAGCTTCGCTTGATGTCCTGAAATGTGAGGCCGGTCGGGGGAACCTCCCGAGATCGTGGCTAACGGGTAGGGCATGCAGGGCTGACTGGCAACTAGGACCACGCACAGGCATCCTCAAGAGAAGATAGTGACAGACGAGTGATGCCTTGTGATAGAGCGGTGGTGAAAGAAAGTCTGCCAGTATCTTCCTGGCCATGTGAGAAGGAGCAGGGCATACTCATATTTCGGTTTGGGGTTGGGTGCCACATGCGTAAGACAGGAGCCGAAGGAGAGAAAGTGAAAATGCAAAATTATCAATAATACCCGAGTGTCCCCTACTCCTGGTAACTTATACTGATATCCAACAGCTCCCCCCATGGCCCCCAATCGGCCTTGCCATTCCCCTAGGACCCCCCCCCCCCGCAGTCCCCCTGGTTTTGATCAAGAGACTGGTGGTCTAGTAAATCACCTATAATTGAGCAAGCATAGCCGTGAAGTGTTACCTCACTTTTCCGGGCCCGTCGTCGTTGGAAACCCTCTGGGGACAAGTGCACAGGGTCAAGCGGAAAATTGGCAAGAAAGCGGAAAGGCTATCAGCCACGATGATAAAGTGAACTTAGCAAGACCATGCAACACGCACAAAGGCTTCAGCGAGTGTTGTAGAGTGGCGAACGGGAAAATTTCGTCCGGAACCAGCCTTTTTTTTGCGTTAGATTTGGTGAAGAATGGGTACTTTCAAGGTGACAAACCCCCAACGATGCCTTATCCTATTGGAGATAGTTGGAATTTTGACATTAGCTGGAAGATTACTTTGCCTTGAACACCTCAGAAGTATAGATCAAAAGAATTGGAGTTGGACTTACTCCTTAGCATTTGTATCGGTTAGTGTGAACGCGAGCCAGAAATCTAGTCTGGGCTCCGTATAAAATCGTATGGTGGGTGGTAACCGCATACCTCCCGCTTAGTTGATAGTTTCCTTCGTAGCTTTATAACCTTTAAGAGTATCGTGAGGCCTTTTCGTATCTCCCACGATATTAGCGGTGCGCCATGAGGCCTTGGTTGATTCTCATCCCTATTGGTGTTGTCGGGGGCGGGGGTGGGACTGGGTGATTTTGGTGTGAAAAGGTCACCGAAGGAAACACCCAAACCCGGCGTCTTAGCCACCGCAGGGGCTGGGGTTCTTGAGGGCCTTGTTGGGATGTCGAAGTTGCTTCTCCTGGAGGGGTCTGTTGTGTTTTGCTCCTCATTTGTCCGCCGTGGGGGGGGGGGGTTGAGAGTCGATCCTTTCGCTGTGTTCTATCCCCTTAACCGGAAGGGGGTGGGTGCTCTAGGAGCCCCAATGTGGTTCTCAGCTATTCTAGTCCCTGCAGTATTACCGCATGTATGTAAGCCTTTTTCAAGCTATCAGTGCACATGTGGAAACAGAGCTGAGCGGAATCACACTTGGGGGAAAAAAAAATCAGATCAATTTTCCCTCATAGCTGCCGCCGAGGAAACGTTTGCAATCCCCGGGACCGTAGGTCTGGTATCCTGCATAACGAGGAATCTTACCATGTCGCCTGTGGGCCTCGGGAGGGCTTCGTGGCTGATTCATCCACATTATGAAAAACGCATTTATTGGGGTACGGTGACTGCGGGTAGCCTAAGCTCTAGTGATGTTCTAGCAGAGAATAGATTCGGGGGAAGGGGATAACTTTATGCAGCATCCTAAGATGGTATATGAGCGAGGCCTCCGAGTTCGAGTAGCGTGGTGCAAATGCAGGGCAGCCCGTGATATCATTCCTTGGGGCTAGCCGGAGCGTGAGCCTTGTTTTGGACTCGCTTTTCTGGTATAAAAAAGTTAGTCACTGGGTCCTGTTCATTGGCGAGTCCCCGGCATAACTATTTTTGTGAATTATTGATTGCGGGACTGAATGAGACCTCGTTCTCAGGTGCAACCGCTGGCGTGAAATGTCCACAACGCGGGTTAAGCTCTTGACAGAAAAATTCCCAAGTACTTAGACTATCTTCTACCTGTCGCCGGTAAGTTCGGTTATAATCCAGCTGGAGGCGGAATCTGGGATTCCGGTGGTCCCGTCAGCCCACTTTTCCCTCATGTGGGTCTGGACGATCCCGGGGTATTCTTGCCAAGGACAATCCTCAGAAGACGAGTGCCCGGCGGTGAGCACTCGTCGTGACTGATAGGTAGGCAATTGCTGTCTCATGATTGCGGATGTTAAGTGTATTGGGATTAGTTTCCTGACTACTCGTAGCAGTGATCATGGGGAGGATAGTTGCGCAGGATTTTCCTTCCATTTTTTTCCGAGAGCGAGCGCTCTCGTGTGAGCGCTCTTCTGGAATTTTTCTTGGGGTGCTAGTTGTATGTTTTAACTGCTTTTTCCTGTGCTCGCATTACCTTAACTTAAGTATTGCGCAAAATTCCGGTACCGAATAAAATACTGTGCAGGACTGCTTAGCTCATAATGCCTCCTACTCACTCAAGACAGACTGACTCAATTGGGTTTTCATGTCATTGTAGCGGTTAACCACTGCCGTATCAACTTGCGTGGGAGCAATTTGTCCCAGGACGGTCAGGTTTTCTGCCTTGACCAGGACGGGAGAGGGTACCAACGATCCGAAATAGCGCATCACTAGGAGGGGGGGGTCTTCGACATCGCAAGAAAAATTTCTCTTATAAAGCTGTTGCGGTATGGGCGTAGTCAACGGAGTAGCATGCCTTGTCTTTGCTCTGCAAGCTGCTCTTTTTTCGTCCTGGACGGCGTGGCCCTCGTGTCCTGTGATTGCGACCCGTCTTCGCCGGATGGGACAATTAGAAGCACTGAGTGCAACAGTGGGCCTAGGACTGCCGCCCCCCCTATCTCTCCAAAAACCGGAGTTAGCACGGAGAGGGAAAAACCGAAACCCGAAGGAAGGAGAGTGGTAGTTCCACTCTATGGTGCGATGGACTTAACGTGCGCACCATGATCTTCAAAAATCGTTTCCTTAAAGTCGTATCCATTCATCCCCACAGGGCTAGAGGTGCATGGCCTGGGTCTGTTCTAAGAATATTGCGCCATACCTTATCTACTGGCTAAAGAAAAAGAAATCCTGGCCTTGGGCTCAGGAGGTAATAGTAATAACCTTAGAACCTTTCACAAGTGGGTTAGGCTCGGGATGTCAGGGCTGGACTCCGGCCAACTGCGGGGAAGCGTGACACGCGTGGTGAAACATGTGGTAAAGTCGGCAGAGGTATGTACGAGTACCTCGTAAATCCGGATACGATATGATACTCCTATAGCAGTCCATTGTAGTACTTGTGTCGTTCTCAGGCTAATTCCGCAAAACTTGCCTTCCGGCATAACCGGTCGTGATTTCGAGCCCTAAGCAGGCTGGCATCGTGAGGAAGATTTCGTTTGATATTATTGCCACCCAAAGCACCCTTTATCAAAGGTATCGTTTCTTTCTGCGCCGGGACGGCCGTTGTTCGGGGAGTTCTCAGAGGTGTTGTTTGGTTTCCAGAGGGTGGTAGGTCCCTGGGAGCCTGTAATGATAGGAATAAAATAGGAAGTGCCGTACCCCTCTGTGTGACCCCTCTCTTTGCTGATCCAATGGCTTTGGTAACACCAGCGGCATGGATCGGGTCAGCCCGATGATCCGAAAGGCCCTAGTAAGTTACGGTGTTGCCTCAAAACCTTCACTTGCTCAGCAGTTTCCAAGCTGACAAAGCTCCTCCCATATCCCCTAGCACCCGGTCGTCATACTCTTCCATGGCCGCTCCTCACTCAACATGGTCGTCGAAGTATTATAAGTTAAGCTCCTCAGCTACCCCTCCGGAGAGGTTACATGTGTAATTGCGAAAATTCCGTTGATCCCACCCTGGCTTTTCAGATCTCAGCCTACCCAGCACCGGGCTCGGGGCTCTGGGAGCGGGAAGTTTGTTCATGCGGTGGAACGTGACGAGGGGGCCAAAGTTCGGAAAGAGGGGGCTCGTTGGCTGGTTGTACTGTACGAGTAGGATTGGTACAATTCGCTGGGGCACTTTGGGTATGACTACTGCACGGTTTGGTTGTCACTGGAAATTGTAACCGGTAGGGTGCTAATGCAATACTAACGGGTTATCGGTGCGTACTTGTATTTTGCTAGTGCACTCCCGCTTCTCCATCAGGTTTTGGCATCAGATTCGCCGAAGCGAAGGGCACAAGTTCTTTTCCACTGAAGGGATAGTTTGTAAGTAATGAGCAGCGAGCACTCGAGTACAGTACGGTACGGAGGCCTGACTATTTGGGAAAATATTGGCAAGTCAAGATGGCGCAAAGTTTGCTGCAGGTTGTAGGTTTCCGGCTTGCGGCATAGCCGCTGCCCTCCCAAGTTCTAGATCCATAGTACGAGTACAAGTACGGCAGTTGCACGGTGCACGCTCCTAATGAGCTAGCCCAAGGGCTGGCGGTGTCCAGAGGTGAGGATGCCGGGGTTCTCGAATTTGGATGTAAGAGGCTAGTTCTTGGAAATTTTACCTCTCGATATCATACTTTACAGATTGACGGTAATCTGCGGCTCAAGGCAAAGGCCGCTGGAAGTTTTGCTTGTATTTGGCAACCCCAATTCTTGTTTGAATGGTTGGTAGGATCAGCTGGGCCTTTAGGGCAATCAAATTTTGCCAGAGCACTACCCAATTCTTGACGGGAGAATAAGGGGGGAAGTGTAGGGCACCGGCACAGGGCTCGGATGTTTGCTACTCTTGTAAACCCTACTGCTGATTGGTGCGCGGAGGATATACGTTGTACCGGTGGGCAAGGGATGGACGGTGCTCCTTATCTCCACTTTGTAGCTGAATCGTGTACAGTACTCGTATAGTACCGCAAAATCTCGTGAAACCCATTGTCTCCGTCAGCCCCCCGAGAAGGATTAACGTTTTCCTGATACGGTAAAAGATGGGTCGGCTAGGTGTGTTGGATCTCGCTAACGGGATTCTCGATTCTGTTAGCTTGCTAAAAGAAACCTATGGGCGGCCGGAGATGGTGGATTTCACGAGATTTCACGGCAGGTGTAGAAGAGAGCTGTGCTCCGCTGGGTGAACAGAGGATTACCACGATGAGCGATTGGCTGGTGGCAGCTGTAGACTTGGAAAAAACGGCTCGGGGGGGTCCAATAGCTAAGGGATTTGGCGAGACGCTGCTGCAGATGTAGGCCGCCTCGATTCCTCGCTTCACGCCCGGCACTTTATCATTCGCAAAAGTGCAAGGAGATCACATGTCCAGGGTCAGGAGTCCGGTACCGGTTGGAAAAAGGCGCCTGCAGGGGAAAGGATGGGTCTGCCGTTCTATCTGTTATATACTCTTAGACTCTTGAACATTGGAACCTTTGAATAAAATATCGCAATGCCAGCATTTGATACGGTATTTGGATTGGCCGTGCGGAGCCGGGGTGGACGAATGGATTGTCATATCATACGGTGCCGTAATCCAGTGCTGCACGGTTCCGTACTCGTACTATTCGCTCCATCCCTCCCGCACCCAGCTCGTTGAGATCCATTTTGGCCACACCAACCAACCATTCATAGGCGCCCGACAGATGATAGCCGGATTGGCCCACCAATAGTTGGGAGGAATGGAGCATACTCGCTCGCGAAACGCAGAAAGGGGAGAGGGTTCCAGGGCCTCGTGTTTCAGGGTGAAATTTTTCTCTCTAACCGCAACCCCATTCCCAGCCGGGAACGCGCTCCTCTTCGCTTCCTCGTGCCGGGGTGTTCCTTGGGGGTATGCGGAGGAATATTATAATTGGCCACTTGCTTGGAGCATGGCATGTCGCACAATACTAGTACGAGTGGATTTGGGAATGGTCATTCACACCATCCCAATCGCTTGGGACTTTTTTTACTTTTTTTTTTTGACGCTTCTGATGATGGTGGGAGAGCGGGAAATTTTCAATCTCGTTCACGATCGCGTTGGGCCGGCAGAATGGCAGCTTTAACCACCCGCCTGGTGGAATACCCGCACCCTGCCGCTCATTGAAGGGTCTAGCGGGGACGTCGTGGCGATGGTATCATGGTCTGGTGTTCCTGCATAGTACAGTATGTATGCGCTCGTACATTTCTATGGTTCCTTGGCAGGTACGGTTGTGATATGATACCGGGGTGTAGCCATTAGAATGGAGGTACACAGATCAGCAGAGTTTGTTAAATACCCTTCCGATGCCTTCCACTCCCGTTTCCCTCGCCACACACACGCTCGTGAACATTCCTTCCTTTCTTCCTTCCTTCAGCCTTGACGGTTTTCCATATATAGTATCTACACTCCTTACGACATAACTGTCCCTCTGAGAGGTTCCGATAGTCCACCGAGAACATATAGTACACCCGTTCAGAATGTATATGTTTGCTATCCTTCTCGCCGTGCTCCCCACGGCATTCGCCCATCAGGGACTCTGGCACCCATCTGTTTTTGGCTTTAACGGTGATGGCTATAGTCTTGTTGAGCCGTTGGCTGGAAAGTCTTTTGACCAGTGGTGGTTTCACGGTATTATCCATGCTCCCCAAGGGTGTCGACCATGACTGATAGTCTTTGTAGGAAACTTGAACCAGAAACCCACTGGACAACCCATGTCTCTCCCTGCTGGTGGAACCGCAACCGTGGAGATCGCCTGTAACAAGGACTTCACATCCTACGGTACGAAGAGTGATGGCAGGGATGCTTGTCCCACCGATAGTAAGTCCTCATGGCCCACTGCGGGCCGTCGTCGGCTAACGATAAGCCAGCTCCGTCATATCACGCCGGCACTCCAATTGACCCGAAGCAACTCCTTGGGTGTGGTCTCGCCATCGCCTATAAGGACGATGCTACCCAAGTGCAGCCAGAGGACTTTACCATCTTCTCGGTAAACGATCGATGTGTCGACGGACTCAAACAGAATTTCCCCGTCCCAGCCCAGATGCCGGATTGCCCCAATGGAAAGTGTATCTGTAGCTGGTTCTGGCAAGGGCAGGACTCTGCCAACGAAATGGTGACCCCCGCTCCCTTCCCCACAATTCTTGCTTTGATGGCGCTAATGGATGAGCTCAGTACATGACCGCATTCGAGTGCAAGGTTGACGGCGCGACTGGAACCACTCCTGTCGGGAAGCCCGTCCCACCCAAATACTGCCCCAGTGGTTCCGGCTGCGTCTCAGGGCCCAAGCAGCCAATGTACTGGGCCAACGACCGTTCAAACGTGCAGTTCAGCGGAAACTTTGATGAGAAGCCATCCTACAACGCCAAGTGGGGATTCAAGAACGGTGCTCAGGACGACATCTTTGGTGGCACTAGCGGTTCCAATCCTGGTCCTGCCGCTCCTGCCCCTCCTACTACGGATCCTACTCCTACTACGCTTCTCACGGTCACTACCAAGCCAACACCTACCACTGCTCCCTCTACCGGCGGTGGTGCCTGTGATTGGCCCGGACATTGCGCCGGAGCTAGCTGTAAAAGTGATGACGATTGCTCGGATGTTCTTGCTTGCCGGGGTGGGCGGTGTGCCTCTCCTTAAGCTTCTTGTTCAAGTCTGAGATCTGGGAAGGGGTATTGTGGATTTTTTTTTGCGCGGGCGCGCTTTGTGTTATACTTAAATACTTGTAGTTATGACTGAATGCCAGCATAGATTTTATCACTTCGTTTATCCCTGTTTTTGGTGTTGATGTGCTGTAGTTTCACCCATGCCGATGGTCTTCATCGCTGGTCCGAATACCCATGTTCCCTGGTCGGGGATTCGCACTGATATTGGGAGGCCAAAATCCCCTATCAAAAAAATTCTTTGATATTTGCTACAGCGCCAAGAAGCCCAACAGGGAAGACAAGAAGCCGCCAATAGGGAGATACAAGCGCTGCCGGTTAACCTACAATTCAACCATCATCAGATCCCGAACCGACGCCTTATGATAAAGCTTATGCGACTCGAGCCAACCTAAATCCGACCTTCCTACTTTTCCTATTATAAAGTTTTGGAGAAACGAGGATACCGTGACCCCCCCCCCCCTATGCCTATCAATATGCAGCAACCAAACACGGAGAATATCCCAAACCCCACGCGCCACCGGCCACCAAGCGCCAAGCAGTGAAGACGTCTGTCGCGGTTGTCGAAATAGCACACCATGCGAGATGTGAGATCGAAAATGTGAGGATGGCAAAAGATTTAGAGCATATGGAGGATGCAAGACAGATGTAGTTGCCATTCCATCAAAAATCTCACGGCCTCTACCACCTGAGACCATAGCCATTTACTGCACCTATGAGTGGTATCTATATGCAATGACATGGATCCCGACATTCCGTTTCCAATGTTACTATTGTAGTAATCATTTTCAATATCTGGCACAAAAAAAGTATTCGAGTGATATTTTAAGATGGAGGTCCGAAAGTGGTGTCTTGGGTGGCTATCCGGGCCGTTTTGGGGACCTTTTTTTTTTGATCCCTTTGAGCAAGCTCCGGTCTTTTTTTTTTTTTTTCCACATAAGTTACGGTATCCAGCGAGACCCCAACGAGACGCGAAAATTAAATTCAGCGCATACTCGAGCACGAGTACGATCCTTGCTCAAAAAGTCATGAGTAGGTTGCCATTTTGCACCAAAATTGCACCACTTTACTGTAAGGGCAATTAACTTGCCCAAAAAGATGATAGGATTAATCAAACTAGGACTATGTGTTTTCTAATTGCTTGACCTGTTTTAGTAAAAATTGTATGATTTTTGTCACCATCGTGCGAGTGGTGATAGCTAAAGATTTATTCATGAGGTGTTGCATTGTACCTTTTTCACTGAAAATTGGTATGATTCAAGGTATCTTTTGTCCATCCCCAGTTATTCTGGTATTTCTCTTCCAAATTCTATTGATAGAGCTTGGTTTTTTTTTTCTGAACAAACCCCATATGATTCTAAGAAATTTATTGAATTTTAATTTTTTTATGAGAACAGTCAAGGTGGGGGTTTCTGGATGTAAAGTTACTCGGTTTTGGTGGAAAATGCTACCCCTACTCATGACTTTTTGAGCGAGGTTCGTACAGTACAGTAGTCCTCCGCTAATCCGCCTATCTTGCTATTTTTATTTTTTGCCAGCTGTAAATGGGCTTAGAACAAAAGAGGCCTAGTGTTACCGAGATTGCCTACTCGAGTACCGTATATCCATCCATGAGGACCTTCACACATGTTCCGCATACATCTGGAATATAATATTTTGTAAATAATTTTTCACTCACGGAATGCTAGTCTTCTATACTTACCCAACGGATAAGGTCGGCCTGTAGAGAGGGAAGGTTGTTGTATTATTCACTTGTTTCATGCATTCGACCCGTATCCTCACGCTATTTGATCCATTGTACACAATTGGTTTTTATCGAGGGAACGGCTCGCATCCCACCTTTTTGCGATGAGGATTACGGTACGGTCTATATGCTGAGTATCAACAAAGGATTTGCGTGAACGGCGACATCGTTGCGTCCGCAAAAGTATTGGTGAATTCGGTGCTGCTTTCCCAGATTGGAAACCCATTTTCACCCCATTCAAGATGCAATTAAGGCGAGTATATTTATGATGCCAGGAGTCTATTGTGTACTACTGGTGTTGCACAAATGTAATGCTTTATGTAATCAGGCTTAGGTAATTCCTGCAACTCTACCTGACCTCTCTAACAACATCATAATACTATTATGATAATAATAAGCTGTAAATTATAATCATACATATCAAAATTTGAGGTAAAATTGCTGTAAATTTTAAATATATATACTTATGAAATACAAATCTAGGCTTCTTGTACAGTACTAACCTGATGGTAAGAGTTGTACCTTTTTTTGACAATGCTTTCATATTCAGCTGAAGCATATATGACCTCAGAGCTGTAAGACTCCATTATTTGCTCTGTGTTGACCCAATATTTCCAGATAACCTTCTTATCTACACTGGCTAGTACTGGAGAAACAAGCTGTTTCAATGATTCAAAATAATATTGATAGTTTTCACATGTGTAATGCTTTGTAACCCACTAATAATACTCTATGAAATTAATTTCAAGTTCACAGTGAAAGGCAGGGTAAAATATAACCCCATGCCCTGCATCTAGAATTTAGGATTTGGTTCTTTTCACTTGCCAGTAGCAGATAGAATAGAACATTCAGTAAGAAATGGAGGCCTACTATGTGGCCATAGACCACACTTTGTGAGGACCAATCTTAAACCCTTTGGTCTACCATCTGGTAAGATGAGAGACTAAATATATAGCCCCTATCCAGATATGTTGAATCAGTAACGAAGGTATCATATATTCAGTATCATATCTGACTGTATACAAATTTATAAAGAAAAACTACACCCAGGTGAAAAATTACCCTAACCCTGATTACATAAGGCATTACATTTGTGCAACACCAGTGGTACATGTTATAGACGCCCGGCATCATACGGAGAATGATATAACTCACCTTGTATCACGAGATAGCGGAGGGGGTCTGGAGATAGGGGGAAAGGTATCAAGTAAATTTGCCGGACGAAACTATCCACAATATGTCACTCGGGCCAAAATGAGACATGTGATACAAGCGATTCCATCGCCTTTCTTACGAAAGCCATACCAGTATTTAAAGGAAATAAGAAATACATTTCATTAGTTTCGTCTCTCCTCATGCTGACTAAAATTATTACCTCACTTAGGGCTCTCTATGGAGGCGACCATATCCAAATCATCTCCCTGCCATCCAATCAGTGCTCCAGCGGGAGGCAAGGTATCGGCATGATCAACACCCCGTAGAAAGACACATTTCTCCATCAGTTTGATGGCCTTTGCATCTGGGCCGTTTTCTCTCTACGTGAAAGCGAGGTTGCTCATGTTGGTCAGCGTGTCTGGATGCTCCGAGCCCAAGCTTATCATCGACGACTCAGGCTACGAGAAAAAAATCAGCACAGAATCAAAACATCAACATCCAACCCCTCCTTCCCAGCCACCATCAGTCCACACTTAAAACAACACTCCCCATCTCTCTTCCAAACCACCGCATTCGTCCCCTTCTCCGCGCACCACGCTCTTGCAAGTGCCTGCACACCATGTCCCGTCGCATTGATCACCGTGACCACATCCGTCTTGAGCTCCGCCTTGTCGAGCTGCGACACTTCGTAGATGGTCCGGGTGTAGGTGCTGGCCCACTTGGGGTCGATCTTGTGTGTCCCTTTGCACGGCGGCGCGGCGACGAAAATGCTGTTGCTGTAAAGCGTTAGGGTGATGGGTTTGTTGGCCCTGAGTAGGTAGAAATCGAGTTTTGCGCGATATGCCGTCACCACGCCGCCTGGTGTGGCGGAATTCACGTCCGTGGGGACGGAGAGTACACGCAATTTCTGCAACACGCAAACCTCCTCCGGCACCGGGGGAAGTACAGGTTCCTCCCACGTCAAGCGTCCGTCCGAAGGAACAAACGGCTGCTGCTCGCCCGCCGAATCTCGCAACTTGAATGCCGGAGCGCGCGTGTGCACTTGCACCAGTGCGGCAGGCGTGCGGTACGTTTCGAGCCCGATGGGCGACATGCATGGCCCGACCCAGCCGCATATTTCGTGGATTTTTGGGACGACGGCGAGGACGCGACCAATGATGGAGCGGCTGTGCCAGTATGAGACTTGAGGGAAAACGAGGCCGAAGTTTCCGTGGCGGATTTGGATGATGCCCTCGGGAGGTGTCTTGTTGAGCGAGGGACATGCTTGGTATAGGCCGAACATCAATGTCAGGGGAAAGCATGATCCAGGGAGTGCGAGGCCGGCGACCCAGTCCCAGGTGCGGATGCTGACTTCTTCGCCTGAATGCAAGAAGTCGTTGAGGGTCTTGCAGGCTTCAGCTTTGAAGGGCCATTTCATTTTCTCGGCGAAGGATATCATAGCGTCGACTTGGCGCTGGCGAACATCCATACGAATTGCGAACTCGTATTTGCCGTCGGTGGCTTTGACTTCGAGGTTGCGCATGCATAACTCGGCGGCAATCATGTCGTATATGATTTTGCGAGTGATGCCGCCGTGCCAGTGACCTTTCTCTCGTTCTAGTCTGAGTGAGAGCTCCTTCGCCTGTAGCATGTGGTATAAGAAGTCGACTCCGTGATAATCGCTATTTGGACTGACCACAGCTTGGAGAGCGAGCGCTCCAACACTGCCTTCTTGCTCTTCAAATGCAGGGAATATATTTTCCCTACTCAATGAAGCCAGAAGATCTGAGATCTGATGGCGGCTCTTGACAGTCTCTTTTGGATCGAGCCAAACAAGTCTGCAAATGGTTAGGCTCTCAATTCGGTAAGTAAATAATGGGCAATTGACTACCTACTCACTGAACCCAAGCAGATTCCTAACCTGCTGATGACCAATTTCCTCCGTCCACCTCGGCCCCAGCCCCCCCGCCGCCGAAATCTCATTCCATCTCTTGAGCAAATCATCGAAACTCACACTCGGCGTCCCAGTCGCACGCAGCCATTTCTTCGGCGGCGGCATGTCCATATCCTGTAGTCGCTTGAATCCATACTCCCCCGAAAATCCCTTCGGGGATACAGATGCAGGAGCCCAGCCGACGTATTCTGGGTCAGCGTCCAGGTCGACTTCGAGGAGTCGTTGGCAGCAGTGGAGGAGATTTGATGGGATGCGGAACATGTCTACCGGGGTTTAGAGAAGAGACGGGGTTGAGCGTTGGGTGGTGACTTACCGAATGCAATGTTTTGGATTGGTTCGCGCTTTGGGGCTGGTTGGTCCAGGTCTTCGACGTTGACATGCCATGAGAAGAAGGAAGGAACCCCGGCCCCGGAGAAAACTTTGTGTACGACGAGCGCTCCTGTATTATCATATGGCGGGCCTGCTGGTATCGATAGTCTGTTTGGCTCCGATGTGGGAGCTGGAGCAGCGATTGGTGGTGGAGCGGGTCTCGGAGGTGCTGGAGCTACTGGTGTTAGCGCAGTAGTCTCTGTGGCCAGAGGTTCCGAAATAGGTGCATCAGGAGCCACAGCAGTACTGGATCTCGAAGTTAGCGCTGATGGACCTGGCTGTGGTATCAAAACGAGTTGGTGGGCTGGAACCCTGTTGCGCGCTGTTGTAGGGTTAGGTTGGATGGATACACCTCTCCCGGAAAGCATTTCCAGTCTCAGACTTGCCGCCCCTGATACCGGATCATTGATATCATCGGAGGAATTTACAAGATTTTGAAGTTGATGTTCGTCAGTGCTCTTCATGATTTCAGTACGCATTAGAACCCTCGTCTTGTCTCGAATGGCTGGCAGCAGGTGATTGAGGCTGTCATTGATGGCTTTCAACTCTTCAACAAGCCGTCGAAAACGTCTCTCGTCTGCCACAGCCCATCGCATTCTCAGGGCTAAAGTAGAATCCCTCTGCCGCCTCGACGGATTCCCACGAAATTTGTCATATGTTCGCTTGAAAGTCGATCCAAGCAGTTGCTGATCCAGATTCTCCATCTCCATCCCCGTCTCCGTCCCGTGATCCACACGCGGAACAAGTCCATACCGATCCCGCAATCCCTCAGAATCCTCCAAAATCTTGACAAAACACACCAACAGTCCTGCCACGGCCGTTCTCAGATATTCCCGGTCCAGCACCTCATTCACCGCATCACCCCGCTGGTCTGCGGACCCATCCAGACCAATCCACTGCCCCCAGATTAAAAGGCGCACCTTTTCAACCTCAATTTTGACTTGCAGCACTTCGTGCGTCGAGCCAAATGCCGCGGCGGACTGGACGTAGTCGAAGACTTCCAGCGCCGTGTTGAACAGACCCACGACGCCGACGCTGGCGATGATTGTGCCGGCGACTTCCATTTCGCGCGTTGGTTGCCGCTCGTTTAGGGATTTGACGTTCGGGAGGCATGATGATAATATTATGCAAATTTCCAGGACGGCTAAAAAAAGTAAACTCAGGCTTGGTTTTTGCAAGGCGTTCCCGAATGGCGGTAGACTACTGCAAGGCGCATTCACATGGTCACACTGCGAGGCGTCTTCGTATGGTCATCGTCGTGCTGCAAGGCGTCCTCGTATCGTCGTATCATATCGCAAAGCGTTTTCATATGGTCGTAGAGTAATCCACGGCGAAGCGAGCCCAAGGCAATAACGAGAACACCCATACTAATTGTATAGGACAGGGATTATTTGTATGGGCATTCTCGCTATGCCGTGGGCTCGCTTTGCCTTGGATTACTGTTTTGGAAACTATGGGCTTGCCGAGGTTGAAATGCGCCGGAGTATGTTACAAGTATTGATTGTCGTGGCTATGTGATTGGAAGCAAAAGGAACAATCCCATGACCATGGGCTCCAGCACTCTGAAACCGAGTGAGGGCCTCTTCTCTCCGTTGTGCTCAGAGATGTGTTTTATTTTAAGCTCGCAATTCGACTTTGGATATCTCAGGTTTTCTCATTACGGGTATTATACATATTTCAAATATTGAAATACGTTCGGTTTAGCATTGCACAGATACCTCACGCCCAGATCAAGCAATTGACCCCCAGCCCCTGATCACTCGCCATCTTCACCGCGCAAGCAAAGCATGTCCCACTTCCCCTTCTCACAACTGCATGTTGACCATTCGCCGAACACCACGCTCTAGCAGCTAGTTCGCCTCCATCGCAAGTCGCATTGATAATAAGTACCTCATTAGAATTGTGTCGCTGGTTCTTCAAATCCCAAATGGTGCACACATTCTTAAATCTCGCCAGATCGTATGAATGCACCGAATGAGGCCCATCGAGACAATGATGTGCCGCAACAAAGGTGGGATTGCTGTAAAGCGTGAATGTAACCGACTCCCCTTCGACATTGAAATCAAGACTTGCTCTGTACTCCTGATCCTGCGGCGACGCAGCTGATACTGTAGATTCCACCAGCTTCAAATGAAGTCCTAAAAACTCGCACTGCTCAGACGACGGCTTCGGCGCCTCGACAACCCTCCACATTGCCGGATCGCTCATTTTTGTAATCCATTCCGCCCTAAGTCTCGACTGCATCGTCGTTCCCCCCGAAGGCGTCGAGACCGTTCCAGGTACGCCGTTGTCATCATCAAAGTCTCCTCTGTTCCGTTTTCTGGGTATGCGGAATTCCGCTGCTCGGGCGCGGACTTGTACCCACCCAGTTACGGAGTCTTCAATTGGTGCTGGACAGGGGCCGATCCATCCGCCGACTGCCTTGACACCTTTCATGCCGCCGAAGACGCGGCCGACGGCGAATTTTGCTCGCCAGTAGGATTTACTGTCAATAACGACGGAGGCAGACATATATTTGGCCGCGCCCATTGAGCGAAGTGATGGTGTGGCGCAGATGAGTGCGCCCATGAGGTTGTACACGAATCCGTCACCAGGCAAAACCAGTCCGAATAGCCAGTTCCAGAAGATAAGAGGGACATCCAAACCAGCGCGGATCTTGACATAAGCTTCTTCCGCGAATTCGCGCATCTCGAAGAGTTTCGGCCACTCAATTGCTTCAGCGAATCGGACCAGGCCTTCGACTTGTCGTTCGTGGACCAGGGAGTGGAACTCGACCATGTCTTTGCCTTTATTGGGGCAGACGGATTTGACGCTTTCCATCCAGCGCTGTGCCATTTCGAGGGCTGTGAAGACTTTGGGCGTCATTCCAGAATTCCAGCCCTCGTAGTTTTCAAGTCGCAGCTTCAGTTCGTAAGCAAGGATCATTTGAAGCAGGAAGTTTGCAAGGCCATGACTCTTTGGTCCGAATACATGGTAACCAATGGAGCCTCCAAGTCTGAGATCTTCAAACATGTCTACCCGATTTAACATTGACAGCAACGTGCTGACTTGATTTACCATTGAATACTTATAACTTTGGTCAATCCAGGTTTCGCCCGTCTTGCCGATCCACTTCTGCAGGTCTTCAAATTTCTGCTCGTCCGTCCATCCCCATGGCAGTTTGCGCGAGCCTTGAATAATGTTGATTCGTTCGATGAGCTTCTTAACACCGAGTGAAGGCGCCGGATGTGTTGATACAAAGCAAGTCTCCGGGTCCTTAGGAATATGTTGGTTGGCCCAGTGCTGGAATTCAGAAGCGTAGCCTTCCACTGTTTTTGTTCCTGGGAATTTGCCGTGGTAGTTACGGCCCGCCTGGGTTTGTCAGTTATCATTTCCCAATCCGGGGATGCTGTCAGGAACGTACCTCTGGATCCAATCCTTCAAACCCTGACGATCCTGCTTCTTTGAACTTTTTGTTATCTGTAGCATATTGCAACCCTAAATGACCAAATGTCAGAAATTCACACCATTTCCACGAAGTAATGGTGAGAACCCACCCCAAGCCAAATACAAAGGCTTCACAAACTCCAATTCCTTCTCAATCGCCATATACCATTCATCACCCTTCACCTCATCCCACGTAACAAAACCCCAATAATTTCCATGAATCTCATTAATCGAGATATTCAACATGCCCTTGTTCTGCGCCCTCAACTGTGCGTCCAACTTCCCAATCTGCTTCACCAGTTTCTCCACATCCACCGGCCGCGGCAGCGTCGAAGCCGTGGACACCGACTCATTCCCGTCATCGCGGTGCGTCACCTGGCTGATCTGGCTCAGCCGCACACTCACGGCTTCGGAAAAATCGTCATGGGACCCCATCACCGCCGCTTGCTCGATCAGACGTAGTTCGTCTGCGTCCACGCTCCTGCCGATGTCAGCGATGATTTCTTGCCGCGCAAAACTGTCGATGTCCGGGAGCAGAGTGCTGAGGCTGTCGTTGAAGCCGCGCAGGTCTTCGACCAGGGTTCCGAAGCGCTTTTTGTCGATGATGACCCATTTTGCAGAGGCTTTGAGGGTAGTGTTGCGTTGGTTGCTTGCGGATGCGGAGTTGAATCGCTCGAGGGTGCGCTTGAATGTTGTGCGAAATGTAGTCCTACCGCTCTCGTGCCGGCTTTCTGAGGAATTTGTCGCATCGCTTGCTTTTTGCAGTCCATATTGTTGTTTGAGCGAGTACGAGTCTTCGAAGATGTGCTTCATGCATGCCAGGACATCCGAGACTGCGGCGGATATTCTTCGATCTTTGAGTCGGTCGTCCAGCTCCGTTGGGAAGTTTGTATCTAACACACTTTGATCGTCGGTGACAAAACCAACTGCCTGCCCCCAAATGCATAGTCGCACTCGCTCGATTTCAAGCATGGTGGACAGGACCTCGAAGTCGGTTCCCCAAGTGCGACTCGAGTCGACGAGATCGAAAAGTTGGATGCATACTTTGAATAGTGGGACTAGGCCGGATACGCCAAGCGCGATGCCGAGAGGTTCAATTCCGGCCATGATTTGAGAAGTTAGTCAATGATGCTCAAAACGTCGACAGCAGATATCTCTCAATGTTGATACCAGTAGCATTTTCTTTCCTCTCTAAATAGCCGTCCAGGCAGTCGCTCTCGAGCCAGCCGAATTCAGCCTCATCGCAGAACCCGGTGGCTTAGATATTTAGGTTGTGTGCAAGGAGCACAATACAACTTGAATACTCGAGTAATAGCCGGTTCCCCTCCTATTTCGCTGTCGCTCATAGTCTGGCAAACCAAGTGTGATGCTAATGCGAGTGTGACACCACAAACTTTTTTTTGTCTTCAAAAGGCCCACACAATACCACCAATAACTACATACACCTTCTTTCCTAAGGTTATGGGGCTTTCATTCAAAGATAGAGAATCAGCATTCCTAACACTTAAATTAGTTGATATGTATAAACAACTATCTGAGTTGAATTCACTACTCAAATTCTTACCATTATCTCCTATACTACTGCTACCTATCTCAACATTTCTGATATTTATCTTACTAGCTGTAACATGATCATACTAGGGTGCTAGTCATGCTTTCAAGTACAATAGGAGTAGCGCACAAGTTGATCTACAATCTATAGGTGTACTGTGCTAAGGGAGGCTCTGAGAGAAAGATATAAAGAATAGGGACTTGAAGAGATAACCATTCAACCAAGTATATTAGAAATACTGTCTGTTGAAGTCTGTCATTCCATCGAGGAAATCAACAATCTTTAAATACATGATTCTATCCATGTCCTGCATGCGCATATTCTCAAGCATTCCTCAATCAAGGAGATACTTCAAACAAGTAGAGTATCAAAGGATACTCAAACTACAAGTAAAACAAACTGAGTATCAAAGAATACTCAAAACCACAAATAAAACAAACTGAGCATCAAAGGATACTCAAAACCATAGGTAAAACAAAATATAAAACAAATCCCTGAACTGTCAGTGGACTCTAGTTCTGATTATGCCAGCTTTGTCTCTACTTTTATAAAGACTCTTCTTTTTGATTTCTTCTCCAATTCTTTACAATCATGAATTAATTACACTAAATATACTATCAAAAGCTATCTGTAGCAGTTATAGAATTTATAATAAACTAGGTTTTCCTTTCTACAGTCACTAGACAAAAGTCTTAGTGATCGCTCCAGGTGAGACAAAGTCTGTGCACTGACTGGGTGCCTACTAGCATGAGTTGAACAGCTATGGTAGTCCAGCAACAGTTGGAAAAATTAAATTATAAATTGGTAGCAAGGAGAAGAATAATAAACCAAGAATAAACTCTAATAAATTCTAATAGCATTTCAGATCCCCCCCCTTATCTGCTATCATACCAGTTATCATGCCAGTGAATTGTACTAACATTGAAAGGTTCCTCAGGTTAGGGAAGCAGACAGATATATTTATCTATACTGCCCATGAAGCCTGAGCTAGCACAACAAATTCAATCTATACTTGAACCATTGTGTAAGAAAACATGGAATTGTCAATAACTATGATAGGAAAACTGTAGAAACAGCCTGAGGATTGCAGACAAAAGAAAATGCAACAAGGTTGTTATCAATGGAATTGATTTGCAAGATTTATAAAACACCAATTATAATACCTTTTACAGTATCTAAAATCTCTTCGAGTGGCATCCTAGCTATTCCAGGAAGAATTATTATGGTTGTTTGAAGGGTAGTTCAAAGTAAAAGGGGTCAGAGGTGTTTTATTTTCATGTCCCATGGCTGACTAAGCCATCACCAAGACTTTTGTCTAGTGACTGTAACCTGTAAGTATTAAGACCATGATAGTGTAGTACTGTTTTTACTTTATTAACAACTTGGATATTCTTTTTAACTTTCTTAATTGCTACAGTTCTCTTCTTCTCTGACTTTTCAATTTTTCAAAGTCTTACTGTCTTAATAGTAAAAATACTTCCATTTTTCAACTATGTAGCAGATTTTTGATTTATGTCTTGGTTTTCCTAAATTCATATCCAAATACTACAGTGTTCAGGTTGTATATACAGTACTAGTACTGTCCTTCTCAGTTGACTCTTCATCTAATCATTCTACAGTATGATCCAATTAATTTTTCAGTTGAAGAGATCTTATTGGATCAGACCTTGGAATTGTTGGAAAAAGTTGAGGTATCACTTGCTTTGGCATCACACTTGATTTGCCCGACTATGAGCGACAGTGAAATAGGAGGGGAACCGGCTATTACCGCGTTCAGATTTTTAAAGTGGAGGTGGGGTGGGAGAAAATAGGGTTTCTCGGTGGGGGGGGGGTGATGCACAGCCTCCACCGGATTTACACCCCCTGTGTTGCCTTGGGCTGCCCCGCTGTTGGATACGAGAGTGCGGAACTGCCTCTCTTGCGTGATAAGATAGTGAAAGAAGAATAACTTCCTTAATGTTTCCACACTCTTGGTTTGTCGAGTGGAATAATCACTGGGAAAATCGAGATCTCAACGCCCACCGTGTCCATCCTGATGCAAGTGTCTATCCCCCTCGCACTTCATTTGAAGTGTCAAGTCACATACGACATCTTTTCGAATACCAGGTGGAAACCAGGAGAGGTAAGGCTTTATTCCCCATCCTCAGTATCAATTTCAGAAATAAACTAACTATTCAACAAGATGTACGTCCAAACCCGCAGCATCCGCGACTTTGCCTTCATTAACTCCCAATCCGAACGCTTCGGCGCCACCGTGCAATTCAGCAAGATTCTGCGCGCATTGTATGAGCACCCAGACTGGTCGCAGATCTACAACTTCTGCAGCAAACGCTACTCCAAGCGCGAAGTTCTCTCAAACCGTTCCGCACGAGTGTTAAAACCAACGAACGACGAGCTGGGGTTTAGTTTCAACACCAACAAGACCGTCACCGTGGACTTCAACACCGACCCATCGTCCATCGGTCTCCCACAGGACTTCATCACGCAAATCGCCAAAGCGACTCGCAAAGCGGTCGCGCGAATGCTCGGTCCAGATCCGATTAATTGCTCTATCGGCCCAGCCATCAGCTTAGGCATTGGCGCAGCGTCATATATGGATCTCATCTACGGTGGCAGCGCGCCTGGCACTGAGCGCCCCTGGGCACCGACGAAATGGCTGGGGGAGATCAAGGCAGACGGTCGCGGCCGCACGCCCAAGGAGTGGAAATCACTGTGGGAAGTGATTGCTGACTGGGTCTACGAGAACGACGCGATGTCGATCATTGAATTTGGCGGAATGCATACGTTCAAGTACCGCCTGAGCGATGAAGAGAATAAAGAGAGATATCTTGGCTTGAAGTGTCCGCGGAAGTACCTTCAGACAGATGCAATTCATGGGGCGGATGCGATTCGGGATATGTTTGATCAGCTCATCGAGACACCGAAGAAGTTCCATGGGATTGAGTGGGAGTTTTTGGAATTAGAGGCGGATCCAGACGTTCAGACTGCATTTTTGGCGAGGTTTGGACCGAAGCCGGCGGACGCGGCGAAGATGGCGGAGGATATGCAGAGGAATGTTAGTCCCGTCAGTTACTACAGACTTGGGTACAATGAGGTCCCTCCAAATCGGCTGAGGCCATGTCCAGAAACGTATAATGGAACTGACTGGGAGAGATGGATGCTTTCTATTGAGGGAGGCTGTGTCGTCGCGGTAGACACTGTTTTCCAGGTGAGTACCTTACGTGATCCTCTTCAATCACTCATTCTAACTTGTAAAAGGCTCTGTGGGCGGTGATGTTGTTGACATATCTGCCACTGCACATCAAAATCATGAACAAAAACGACGCTTTTCCAAATTTTCCTGATCTAGATTGCGTTTATTTGTAGCATTTTATTAAACACATAGGCAGTGTCATACAATTTAATATGCATTCCTCTTCCCGCATTTTACTGTGGCTTTCTCCATGGCTGGCTTCTGGCCCAGAGCTTCGATGTTCTGGCCTCCGACGTGAGACACATGCCGGTAGGTCTGATTGTAGTCATATGTAATGTATCTTCCTTGATCTCCTCAAACCGCCCCTTTGCGCTAGATACGTTCCCGGTCTTCCAACCGCTACTGTCTAAGACACCGTCCTGCAGCAAATACCGAAAAATCAGATGTTGTGAGAGCACCTCAGTCAGAGCCAAAAGTGGACCCAAGGAGTTTTTCGGGGCCGTGGAGGCGTCATTGAAAGTCGAGTGTTGAGAGACTGTATGTGGTTGTTATTTTGGGCAAGAACCGCATTTGGCTCTATGGATTGAATTGATTCCGCAATTATCACTGATGTCAACGATATCAACATATGGCATTCGGCAGTGTTCAGCATCCCTTGTCACTGTAGCAGCTAGGAGCCTTGGGGCTAGGTCGATTGATAATGGCCGGCCTTCCCGCTTCTTCGGTGTAGCCGGAACATGACAGATGTCGTGAACTGTCGTCGTTCCCGAGCCTTGGCTTTCCGCAATTCGCTTGTATTTCCAACCAGCCTCAAATCGTAAAGCTCGTACGATACATCTCTGCTTATATGTAGCTTCCTGTCTCCGAACCAGTGTCATAATCCTACTTGAACATTAGCCTTGTAACATCTTCTCTATTGATATAGAAGCTCACTTGGGTTCTCCTTCCTCTTGCATTTCTTTTGTTCCCCTCTGAACAGAAATTCCAGTATCTTGGAAACTTCGGGATGTTTTTGGGAATCAATTCACCAAGAATTCCCAGAGGGTTGAATTCTGTTTTGTTCTAAGTGCACAGACCTCCTCGCATGTCTCACACCCCCGAGAACCTAACACAGGGCTCCCCCTGTTTTTGGTCACTTCTTGCCCGTGACAAGTAGATCCTGTTTCCTATCTCTCCATTTCAGGTCCCGCTTCGTCACCCTTTTCACCTATCTTCCATCCCATATCATGATCAACATTCTTAGCGGAATCCCAACACCCTGTTCAGTCAGATACTGCACCATCACTCTATCACAGTCAATTCTTGTTCCCCGGTGCCAGCCCGGTCAATCACACCATCCGAAATTGGGAAGTGGAAAAGTAACTTCCACATTGGTATTGGTGTTTGTGTGATCTTGCTGGTGTCTAACTCGGAAACATCATAGGGTATGTCGGGTTCTGGTATTTTAAGTTGGCTTGGTGTGTGAAAAGCCGCCCTTTGTGGGTTTCGTGAGGTTGTTCTACTTGGTGAGAAGATATCTTCCGAGGGAATACCGAACCTCTGGTCACGGAGCCAAACCTGGCTCCAAGTGTCTCTTTACGGCTTCAAGCTACTGCTTTAGGGCCATCTGGAGCATCATCTAAGATCATAAAGAGTGATATCGTATGAACCTTCTTGGCGACGGCGCACGGGCTATTTATCGGGTTGGGATGGGATGGGGGACCAGGATTCACTCGCTTATCGGCACCGATGTAGACTATTGTAGGCGGACGGGCGAACTTCAATGGGCGGCGGGAAATTCTTAGGGACCGGGCATCTTAGTCAAGTGAGGTTGGAAGAATTTTGCAGAGATATCGCGTCATAGAAGAATGGTAACGAACTGGATCTGGTGGCGGGGGGGGGCGGATGGGGGATTCATTCAAATTGGAAAAGCAACAAGTCCGCTAGTTTTTTTCTTTTTTCCTTTCTTTCTTTACTCCTTTGCGCAATCCGGAGTCTTGGTTTTTTTTTGGGGGGTCAACTCTAACGGGAGGATCTGGATAGAAATTTACCTATTCTACAACGTATTACAATATAATGAATTAAAGTTGCTAAAGCGCGCACCAAACAAAGTTGGTATGGGGAGCATATGAGCAAATGAAAACAGACATACCTAGCGAGAAAATCAACTTGTTGCCCTCTCTTTCTCGCAGTGCAGGTAATCCATCTTTTGACTTGCTCCTGTTCCTCTCCGGTCCCACATAAGAATCATACCCACATGACATACATAAACCATCGATTGGCAGAGGCATTCTTGGTAAAGATGCACGAGTGAATTGAAATCGCAAACTGTGTCTGCGGTCCTGATTGCACTAATACAGTTTTCTTCAAGAACATCCTAATCCTACACCAGTCCCCACACTATTTGCCTTGGGGTGGTGGTACAGAGGTGAACATGGGGATGCAAATGTCTAGACATAATTTACCAACTCTGCAAACAAACACCCGAGACTAAGCACCCAAAATCATATCCCCAGTCAGAGGGGGGGGCCTTCCTTCGAGCTCACTTAGCTTATGTATGATGTGGAAGGATATCAGGACTGCAATGCTGAAGATGTAGAGGATGATGAGAGGTAGAGCTATGATAGAAGATCTTAGTGTGGTTGGTTAGTTCATAGCATAGAAGTGGTGGGGGGAAGCGGAGTAGGAGGGAGCACTCCGCTCCTTTGCACAGTAGTCTCATGAGTCACTGGGGTCATTCACCAAGACTAGTGGAAAAAATTAACAGGCTTGAGAGGAGTAAGGGGTCATTTTGCTGGAGCATGGAGGGGGATTATTTGTTCGACGAAAGTAAGTTATGTCATTCTTCATTGGGGATCTAGTGACTGGTCTAAACCGACATGCGCAAAGGACAAGAGTCCCACGATCATGTGAGCCGACAAAGGTCAAACGTGGCCATGTGGAAGTATATGACGACCTTACTTAGGCATTGGTGGACCAGAGAATGGTCGACAGTGAAAACTCCGTTGGCGTCAATGGTGCGATCAGATGGAGAACAGCATTGAGGGACCCCAGGGTCAAGAAAGCTGTCGATACTGAAGTCTCCAAGGAGAGTTGGAATAATTGCACAGAACATGAGCATTTACACTAAGCAAGAGCTTCACGTGTCAAAAGACAAGTAGAATAAGATCTATTTGCGAGGGCGTGATCCTTTTAAGACGGGCTCCAATTGTATTGAGCCAACGGCTGGTCCGAAGGTCAGAGTTTTAGTGTTGTGTAATAGCTATCCACCAACATGGCTTGACCCCAATGTTGGGCATTTATTAATGTAAATTCTTGTACGAGTCGGATTAGAGCTAACGAGATCAAATCCCGTAAATTTTTATTGCTCACTTGCTGTATCATCTCGTAGATGGTACCGGGGCTTGTATACTGCGTGGTCCCGGCAAATGGCGAGCCGCAGGAAGAGCTGGAAAGGGTCAAGCGTAATTTGATGAACGCGATCCCGTCCGTATCCCGGATTCAATTCAGCTCCTATAGCAAGCCAGATGCGGCCTATGCGAATAAGGCTGGCCGGTGCATCCTTGGCATGTTACGAAGGATGGAAACAGATATCAGCAAGTTACAGGAGGAGGTTGCTAATCTGCACCCACTGCCGGAGGGGGTCGCTTTCCTCCGTCCCCTACATTAGTGTTCGCAACGGTTCGGGGGCCCCAGAGGCCCCATGGGGAGACTGCCAAGAAGACTGGACTGGACGGGGCTATAAATTTATAGTCCGTCCAGTCCGGACAATATTGGGGACCACAGGCTTTGGCAAAGACCACGAGCCCGACATGGCAAGATATAATTTTGCCGTCCTGATACAAGGGTTATAGATGACGGAAAAGGACTACAGGCTTTCACCAGGGGACGGTAGGGATCTGTGGGGATCTGTGGGGGTTGGGAGAGAGCTGTGGGGATCTGCAGGTAATAGAGTTTTCCACGGGTGCCCCATGGTCTTCCCCGTCCTCTCGCCAAAAGCCCTGGCCAAAATTCTCTCCAGGACTGGACGGACTTTGAGTTGCAGTCCGTCCTCGTCCTACCCTGACTGACTCCCCCGTTGCAAACACTGCCCTACAATACAGGCAGCGGCAGTGGGTATTAGCAAGATATTTTTTGCAACCTTCTAGCGGAGGCAGTAGATGAGGGTGATTGGCTCTAGAACGACTATCCGGGAAGGCAATGATATCGCTCATTCTAATGACGTGATGACGGATATTTGCCTCTTAAAAAATGGATTGATTGATCACATCGAACCTTTAACATTTTGTATAGTCTCAATTAGAGAGCTGCAATTGAGCTCATGGGTAGGCTAATTAATCAACCGTAGGGCTGCGTTGGGTACTACTATTTCTAACTTACAGTTACATTAGGCTACCCACATATTATTGCGGCCATGAACCGGAGGGCAAGCCTCCTCAAGAATGTTGACACCGTGTGGACCAAAGAAAAGGAGTTTGTTGCGATAATAGCCTGGACTCGAAATGCCTCTGCCGAGGAACTTGCTATGTTTGCTGAAGACGAAATCGGGGGCAACCACGATGAAACGCCTTTTTCTACGACTGATGGCCGACTGTAAATAAGCCTTCTCAAGGTGTGAGACGTTGGTTTCATCCTCACCGCGTCTAGGCTCCTACTGCAGAGGAAGTTGGTGGAATGATTTTCTTATTCCTGTTTCCTTTTTGCGAGCTGGTATGGCTATCGATGTTTTCGGGGTGCTTCTTTTTCATTGTTTTAGTTTTGTAGGCTCACATGGGTGAGCGGAATGTGCTTTTTTTTCTACTTTCTTGCGTTCGTTGGCGCCTCCTGGCTGCGAGAAGAGTTACCGGGCTGTTTCTTTTGCTCGCGGGAGTTTTTTTGTAGGGCTGGATGACAGTTAAAGGTTAGTAGGGTGTTGAATTTTTTTGTTGTTTTGGTTTCGTGGACTCCATTGGGAGCCACTTTTGCAACAGCGACAAGGACTTTTAGGAAAACGACAGGGTGGTTGATTGATCTTTTTTTCTCTTCTTTCTTCTTTCGCCTATCTAAGCCCGTTTGGTCGAAGACGTGCAATCGCGAATCCAACAACCCTCTTTTTTTTGCGTCAATTACATTTTGTGCGAGCGCGTGAAGCCCCTCAGTTCATTTTGTTCGCTTTCCTGGGCCGGTTTTGTCCTTTTAGTGCTGTTGGCTATGGGCCCAGCCTTAGGAAGGTGTGTCAACTTGATGGCCGGCCGGTCTGGCGGGCTATCACCTCCAGACACCGCTCTACTAGCCTGCGTAGGGGGGATATGATGAAGTTGTCAAGCCGGGGGGAAATAAAAAGATACCAACCCTAACAGCCGAGCCAGATGGCTCCGAACACCACTCTTTGAAGCCATCTATGGAGGACATTTGGAAGCCGTGCGTCTACTCCTGCAAAGGAAAAATGGCAACTATGACAAAGATCCTGCATATTGTGAAAATTATGAAGGGAAATGTTGAGAGTTTGAATGAGAAGTGCATAGAGAACGATGAAACGAGTATACCAAAGACAGACTTGTTATTCGGTGACC